CCCTACCCGATGTCACACCCTGGTTGGGACAACGCCGTGATGGCTGGAATGATGAGAAACACGACTGATATGACCGGCGGGCAGAACCACTACGAGAGAGGTTGCAAAGCCAATCTCGTTCCTCGTCACATTCGAGATGGAGGAAGCCAGCCAAGATAAGGGGCATTCCCACGTTCAAGGGAGTAATTGCCGATCTGGCTAGTTTTCCGACCTTGGTCGAAGTCAAGTTTGAGTACTTTTCCGATTGCCATCTAACGGACTTGGATAAGATCAACTTGGTCATACCTCTTCTCGAAGACCAAGCCCGAAAGTGGTACCTAGGCATACATGCACACATCAACGGTCAAGCTGCTAAGCGAGCCGGTATGTCATTTAACAAGAATGGTCCGCTCCAGACATAGAAAGGTTTCCGTGAACAGTTGCAGCAGAGTCACAGAGGTGACAACGTGAATCGGGATAAGAATCTTCTTGCATGGAACAACTTGGTGATGTCCCCCCACCAGAGCAGTCCCTACCTGGATAAGGTTATTGATGTGATGTACAAGCTGAATTACACAGACCACCAGCAGGTTAAGGATAAGGTTAGGATGGAAATAAGCTCTGAGCTACGGAAATCATGGGCGTTAATGACGCCTCACCCCGAAAGTCTCAACGATTACTTAGATTTGCTTCAGCAAGTTGGACATAATCTCGAAGTCGATAAACGTTTTGGACATCTCACTGATGATAAACCTGCGAAGCCACAAGAGAAAAGAGAGAAGGAAACTTCTGAACCTACCGGAAGGTTTAAGAAGAAGGAGAAAGGTTAGGGTTGGAAGGACAACAAGGTGTGGAAGACCGCTAATGTTGGTGCCGGAAAGCAGGCAGGGACCTCTGAGTATGCAATTGCTCATCAAGACATCCCTCAGACCTTGACTGATAAATGACGCAACAATAAGCAATGTACCAAGTGCGGGAGGGAAGGATACTTCTGGAGACTGTGTACGGTAACCGTCCCGGTTGTTCATGCTGTGAGGAACACCGCGGTAGTGAAACGGTTACGACCCAAGGCGGAATCCTCTACGAGTGGCAAAAACCATTGAAGCGCATTGAAGTATCTCGTCCGCCACCTTCTGGTCCCAAGCTCTTGGAAGCTCGTAAGCCTTCTCCTACTATTATGGAGGTTGATAAGGACCTCGGTGAAGATCTATGAAGATGTCGGAGGAAGGATGCCTGCTCAAGTGGAACAGATTAAGGTACGAACCAATTCGCATTGACTAGCTCTTAAGTTCTGACAAAGTCGCCAATACAGGAGTATTAAGGGACTACCTGTTCAAGTAGATGTTCCAGTCGCACACGTTGTTTGGTCTTTTCTTTTGGTTCTTGGGTTCTGTTATTTCTTATGTTTTTCATGTTGGGCATTCTGGGGAAATTACTTTGAGATTTTTCTTTGGATAAGCATTCTGCTCCCAGGCGTCGCTCTGGAAAATGGCAACCACGCGACATTGGGATGGGGCACAAAGATGCCCTGTTTGGCAGGGGTTGACTGAATGTCTCCGGAGAGCAAATGTATTTATTGTCTTATATGGGTTGTTTATCTTGGACTGTTGAATTGGTTGGGTTATTAGTCTGAAATAAAAAGTCATCTTTCAAGTTTACCTGAGGAGGGTTTAGTACCCGAAATCATGCTGGTGTGATAGTAGACAGGACTCCAATTCCTCTTTTTGATTAAAAAACTATTCTTGAATGTTTACCGACCTGTTGTGGATGCTCTTGTGTCGAAAGGCAAGAGACTGACAAGAATGAGTACCGTGAGACAAAACAACAAAGCGCGGCACCCAAGCCCACCCAAACATAGCAAATCTATTCACTTACGAGTGACACTAGATTGGCGCATAGAGTGTAGGCATGTAAGTGGCAAAGCGTTATTACTATTTGATAGTGGAGCTGCAGGCCCAGTGTTAAGTAGTTAATAGGTTAAGAGTACCCAGGCTCCCTGTGTACGAAGAAGGATTCATACTCCAATAACGGATGCAAGCTGTAACCACATACCAGGATCAGGTCTTCATTATACCAAATCATTGGACTTGAAGATAGGTGATCACGTGAATGGTATGCGCTTCCCGGTAGCCAATCTCGCCGATACTAGAGTGGATGGTTATCTCCCAATGTCGTGGTTAAAAGACCATAATCCCGACATAGATTGGAAAGTAGGATCACTGACCTGGCACTCAGATTTCTGTAAGGCAAGCTGCCCGAAAGAACAGAGGGGGTTAGTATACATGACCGATGAAGAACTGTTGGCCGAAGATCAGGAAAATGTATATTTTTGAGGGACGGTACAGTTCTCAGATTAGACCGGTAAAGATGTAACGGTCCAACTCTTACCGGAGTACAAGGACTATGCAGACATCTTCAGTCCACGGAGAATAGAAGCACTACTGGAACATACGAAGTATGATCATAGAATTGACTTAATTCCCGGAAGTACACCTCCCTTCGGGCCTATCTACCCGATATCAGTAAAGGAGCGACAAGCTGTTAAGGAGTTCATAAACGAGACGTTGCGAACAGGAAAGATAGAAATAGCTACTTCCTGGTCCTCAGCTCCTATACCTTTTGTGCCAAAACCAGATGGTACTTTAAGACTGGCAATAGATTATCGAGGACAAAATAAAATCACGGTGAAGAATAGATATCCTCTTCCGCTGATGAACGAATTGTGAGGCAGGATGTCAAAAACTATGGTGCATAGCTTGATGGACCTGATGAGCAGGTACTAAGGAATCCGAATGGCTAAGAAAGCCATAGGAGATACTCACTCGCATGAGGAACTCACAGCCTTTTGCAGTGAATTGGAACTACATCAATTTAAAGTGATGCCCTTTGGGCTATGTAACGCCCCCGCCACCTTCCAGAGCATGATAAATGAAATATTTGGAGATATGCCGGGTGAAGGAGTCCTTACTTATATCGACGATATCCTGATTTACTCAAAGACAATTGAACAACATGTCTCTGTGATAAGGCGCGTCATGGAGAGGTTGAGAAAGGATCGACTATGTGTAAACATAAAGAAGTCGTTCTTCCATAAGAGTGAAATTGAGTTCCTAGGTTATCGGATATCCGAGAAGGGAATATCCATAACCACCAAGAAGGTAGATACTATCTGAGAATAGAACCCACCGACTAGTGTCGTCGGAGTCCAAAGTTTTATGGGCTTCGACAACTTCTATAGAAGGTTCATAGAAGGGTTTAGTAAGATAGCGAAACCTTTGACTGACCTCACTAAGAAGGATATCAAATTTGATTGGACCCCTGCTTGTGATAACGCATTCCATGATTTGAAGAAAGCCTTTACCATGGGACCAATCCTAGCACGCTTTGATCATGCCCACCAGACCAAAGTGGAGACAGACGCAAGTGACTTTGCATTGGGTGCCATACTTTCTCAGTTCTGTGAAGATGAGAAGTGGCATCCGGTGGCCTTGCATAGTAGGAAGTTCCACCCGGCGGAGATAAATTATGATGTACATGACAAGGAAATGACTGCCATCGTGGTAGCTTTCAAGAAATAGGAACATCTGTTTAGGTCGGTAGAGGGGAAGATCTCGGTTTACACCGATCACAAGACTTTGGAGTACTTTAATAGTACTAAGACCCTCAACCGCCAACAACATCACGGGGCAGAATTCCTACAGCCGTTCAATTTCAAGGTGGTTTACCGTCAAGGAAGGCTAAATACGAAGGCAGATCCACTGTCAAGGCATGGAGACCACCGCCCTGACGGGGGAAGTAATTCTCTGCCAGAGACACCAAACCTATTTTTTCGCCCCGGACAATGGGTTGTGGGACAAGAGTCAGATCTCTTATGTCCTCATTCATTGGCAGCCTGTCCAGGCTGTCGGTTGCAATCGACATTTTTAGATGCTATGCGTACTGCTGCGAAACAGGATCCCATCTATATGAGGGACTTAAAGGCTTTGTTGGTGGGAGACGAAGATGTCGACCGTAACCTGACAATAGAAAGAACTACGCTTCTATACAAGAATCTTAGTATAGAGAAAGATCTTCTCCTATACAAGAGTAGGTGGTATATCCCTGACTCAGAAGAGCTGAAGGATAGGATCATGGAAGCCGAACATGACCCCCATATTGCGGGACACTTTGGGACATACAAGACGGTAGGCAGGGTTAGGGCTAACTTCTTTTGGCCTAGGATGGATGAGAGCATTACGGACTATGTTCGTACATGTGATGTCTGTCAACGGAACAAATCCGTTTAGCATAAGAAGTTTGGCTTGTTGGAACCTGTTGGAGTGCCATTGAGGCCGTGGACGGATATCTCAACGGACATCATAGTAGCACTACCGAAATCAGAAGAGTATCCCAAACTTTCGGTAATCATAGATAGATTCTTGAAGATGGCACACTTTATACCTTTGGCTACAGAAGTTCCAATAAAGGATCTGGCCTTGATGTTCTTGAAGGAAATTTGGCAGCTCCATGGGCTCCCAGAATCTATTATCTCCAATCCAGATAGCCGATTCACATCCAAGTTTTGGATACGCCTGATGCAACAGTTGCAACTGAAACTACGGTTATCGACCGCCTTCCACCATGAGACTGATGGGCAGACTGAGAGGGTGAATGAGACCTTGGAACAATACTTAAGCAATTATTGTTCCCATCAGCAAGGTGATTGGGCATCACTACTACCTTTAGCGGAATATGCATACAATACATCTATCTCTGAGTCAACCAAGTTATCTCCGTTGCAGATCAACTATGTCTTTAACCCACAGACCAACTGGTCCGGTACAGTCTCAGAGCAACAAGGTGTTCATCCCAGTAGCGATCTATTCGTAAAGAATTGAGCAGTTTTCTGGCAAGAAGTTCGAGATAGACTCAAGAGACCTCAAGAGAGACAATAGACGTGGTATGACCAGAAAGGGTTACCATCGCTGGAATATCTTACGATGGAAGACGCCACAAATGGCAGGGCAAAGAAGGCTGATCGCATGATGATAAATCGAAAGAACATCCGCACTAAGCGACCTATGGAGAAGCTAGACCACCATATGTTTGGCCCCTTTGTAGTCAACCCTAACGTTTGGAATCGAGCTTGTGAACTCCAATTGCCTGCTCGTTGCTCAATCCATCCGGTATTCAATGTTGCACTCTTAGAACCCTTTCATGAGCACGCAAGTGGTAAAAGGACTAAGGAAGTCCCAGTCGCCGAGATAGTAGACAATGAGCCTTGCTATGTTATTGAAGCAGTGATAGACAGTCGATGGTACGGAAACATGAAAGCGAAATATCCAAATCGCTTCGTACACTACCTAGTTTGATGGGAAGGTTCTGGCGCAGAGGAGAACTCTTGGGAGCCATATGAGATGCTAGAAGGCACTGGCTTAAAAGCCATGACGGATTTCCACCAGCAGTATGCACATAAACCCAGAGACCATAGGGTTGTAGGGGAACTGAATGGGGGAAATAAAAGACCATGGTAGCAGACCGGGTCGGTTCTCAGAGAAGAGGGTAGTGATGTAACGACCCTACGTTATAGAGCTATGGTAACCTACGTCTATGCCCATACATAAGACTAAGAGGTCACATGGTAGACGAGGGGGGTATGCAGGTGCATACCCGAGGGATATCTGATGGTAAAGATATCTCTAAAAACAGAAGGTACTCCAGGAAATGGAGTACCTAAGTAGTGGTAGTAACGTGACAATGTCCGCTCTGGCCTAAGGATAGGACAGAACGCCCGGTGAGGTTACGCTGTCTAAGGCAGTCATGTTACCCTACCATGGAGACCAGTTTCGTGTCACCGTGGACACACTTACCCTACCTTTGGGACAATATTACCTTACCTTCCGTCGGAAACCTTCTTGGAAGAATTTCGGGAAATGTTACGATTGTTTGTTACACAATGACGATCGACGGACACTTGTTTGCGTTTTGATTGCAAGACTATGGGAGGAGCTATAGTGCTCCGAACAAGCTGTAACTTGGTAGAATTATTCCCGACAGGTACCTGCAGCCCCAGGGTTTGGCCCGGGCGTCATGGGCCAAAATGGGTGGAGTTGCCATCTTACTAGTTCAATGGAGTTCATGAAGACATGTCCTTAACACTCTATACGCCGCTGCCGTCCATCTGACCGGATGCTGTTCGCAGGATATATCAGGGGGTGAGGGTGAGAAGGTCAGGTACCTTCTCCAAAAGGAATGGAGTAAAGCGGACCAAAGCTAACAGACTTAGCATGAGCTATGCGGAAGGGTCCCTTGAGTAGTCGCAGGTGGTACAAGAGACATCTGGGAAGGTTTTATGCCAATCAAGCCTACAGGTGCTCCTTTGCGGTAGGCTTTTTGTGGGTTGTTTGAAGACTCAAACAGCATGATACTTATCACGCTGAGTGGTGTGCCTGGGTAAGGGACCATGGGTAGCGCCCACTGGTCCCCCCACTGACACAGCTCGACGTGGGAGCGCGGTAGACCCTCTAAGTTCGTATTCAAGAAAGATAGAGGTTAGCCGGGAGACAGCTGATGTCTACGGAAGCTTGCATAGCTTATAGCACATGGGTAGAGAGTCATTTAGTTAGCTTTCCTAGGCGTCTCGACAGTTAGCCACTAACGAGACACCGATAGGCAGAGGTTTTCACTCCGGCAGTCGTGTCGGTAAACACCTCGCAGGAACTGATGCGCATATAGGAGAATTCTGCTAGAGTGTGCTGACACCTTAGCCCCTCCGGGACACGGTAATGGTGCCGGGGCAACCCTTACGGAGAAGGGCATACTCATGATGGTTGGGTAACCTGATGGGGGAGGGTTGGTATAAGTCTGACTACTTGAAGATTATACGAGAACTCTCCTACCCCGACAGAATCAACATCCTCTCAAGAGACTTTAAGTGAGATAACCCTCAGCTTAACGATATTAAGTTTTACCCTTTACTTTTATTCTTTACACTTTTGCATGAGCTGTGTTCCAGAGATTCGAAGTTTGGTGCCGTCACATCATTAGGAACCATCTACCTGAGAGAGCCCCGTTACAAGGACGTACAGGACGGAAGAGTAAATTTGTGCTGATGCAATTAATACTTAATTCTAAGAACAATCCCTTGCCTGTTTGTGAGAATTCCACTTTTCTACGAGGCCTAACACTGTCTCTCCACTATCTACTAGCACCACACGTGAGATGATTGGCTCACCTGCTTCACTCCACCCACTCTATACTTCCAATTCTCAGTTTTTTCACCACGTCTTGCGAGAAAACTGTAGGCTCAGGAATCCTGAATTACTCCTTGAACAAATGGAAACATAACAGGATGCTATGCCAGCGGAATCGCTATCATGGGAATAGACTACTAGCTGATTGTCACGAACTGTGACTAAATGAGGCAGATTTCACATGACGCATACTAGTGCACCATAGGTTACTATGTTCAACTATTCATGACTCAAAGTTGTGAGTCACACGATGTTATGATTTTCACACGTGACTCATACTTATGAGTCATGGGTGTCACTCAGGTGACGCGAATTACGCACCTGACTGGTTTATCATGTTTTGATTGGTTTGAGGCATGTTGCGCAGCAACTCATACAAGTTGTCTGATGGATTTCGCATGACTCATGGTTATGAGTCACAGGGTTCGCGTGACGGGAGGTATGAGTCACGCCAGGTGAAGAGCTACTATATAAAGGATTACTAGGACCCTGAGTATGAGCTCTTCATACCTTCTTCTAGTTTATTTCCTACCTTTAAGTTATCATCAATGAAACCAACCTTTACGCTCTTTAAGCTTTATTTTAAGAAACCCAAGAATTGTCTTTGCTCCCACGAGAAGAGATTACGTCTTTAGCGTGGACTGAGGTTAAGAACAAGGAGATAGGCGCGAGCAATATAGTAGTCAACGGACTGCACTATTACGATCGCGTAGGCATAGGCCCAAGAGTTATTACCTTACACTAAGACAAGTATCGTTACCTGTCGCTCGGTCCTGCTTGGTAGGATTCTTAACACTACTCGCCTAGGTTCCAGTACCTATAGACCGCTAGCTTTCTTCTGCTGTGTTTTTCTCTTTTTTTTCTACTCTTCTCCAGTCGCCAAGTTCTATCCTTCGGATTCATTTTGTCAGGTACTTTTCTTGTCCTTCAAATCTTAGTGTTCTTATCTCGGCTCTTTTTCTTAGAGTTCTTTTCTTATGGTCCATTTTGTTCTAATTTCTTAGTTGTTGTAAGAGTTTGAGTACTTTGTTGTTGGACATTAATTAGCTGGATCTAAGTAAACAGTCCTGATATGAAATCAATATACCTGTCTGACAAGGGTTACTTACAATCTTTAAGTTTGTACAGGTTGTTGTAAATGCTTTGCAACAGAGAGTAAGTGATTTCGAGAGATTTAGTAATATATTGGCTTGAGGGAGGTGGTTGAATACTGAGCCCGCACTGAAAAAAAGAATTTAGAAGATTGGGTAGTTGAGGTTGTCCAACGTACTGAGATATATCAAGTAAGAAGATAGTACTCTGCTATCTAGTATAACAATAACAACTGCATATTTGTTTACTTAGAGGCTACGTAAGGGGTTCAACTACAAGGAGCACTACATTTTCTACCTACAGTTGATTCCGACCATCTTACATATTGAATAACGCTAGGGGTCCACCAATACCCTGGTCCTCCTAGCCAACGGTTGTTCAGATAGAGCCACGCAAGGCCCCAATACCCCTTTCCTACCATCTCATTTTCCTACTTCATCTATCTCCGCTGTAGTCCCCTCATGGCCCCATTGTAGCTTGAAGGCCTCTGGTATCAGGAAACTACTTGTAACCCTTTAGTCATTGCTACTCTAGTACTGAAAGGGAGTCTGACAAATAGTGTACATATACAAGTAAGATCCAGGAAGCGACGGGTTATAATAATGACAAAACTAATGTATTAAGCAATTACCTGAATCAGGTAACTAATGGGTAAAGAATGAAAGTGCTATCCTACAATCCTCTCACAGATAGCACGGAAACATATGACGCAACAGCTCAGAAACCTGGTTACAAACATGGCTGCAAACTCCAAATGGGCAAAGCTGGTAATGAGGATTCTGGGTATCTTGCAATTTCAACAAGCAGTAGCAGATACTATGATGTCCATAATGGGAAAGGCAGTCCGCCATCAGTAGTTATGGGACTACTATGGTGGTGAGTTCATATTAAAGCAAAAGGTTTCCCATGGAGCGCATGTCAAGGCTGGTATTGCAACGTAAAGATATTACCGCAGTACAAAGTTTAGTATGTGTTGAAGGTAATATAATGAGAAAACCTTTTGGATACCATGCGCTTGGCGGTCAACCCTTTTGGATACCATCCCCCGGGAAATATACCATCGAAAAAGTGAAACCTTTGCAAGGAACACCAAAATATTTACACATCTCCACCCATCTTTTCATTGCTCAAAAATGCAAACAAATTAAGAGAAGTCCTGTAAAAAATAATAAAATACTCACAGCCTTCTAGTATTTTTAAAAGTTTCTCCACAACTTTTTAAGATGAACTGGGTAATACTAAGGGTATTTAGCAATCTTCTTAGAGTTCTTGGCAAGGGAAGGTAAATGTGTACGAGTACAAAGGTTTCA